GGGATCTGTTGCCGAGTGATCTCCTTCTCAATAATACCTCCATGATTAGAGTAAGAATGCTTTGATCTTTTGTTTAAATCACTGCTATGTCACCTACTAGAGGTAATGTTTTGATTAGTTAAACACTTTTGGTACTAGTGCATATAAGCTTGCTAATATGGATAATTTTGTCATTCCTGATGATGACATAATTAATGTCGAAATATTGAATCCCAACACGATGGCGTGTATTTCAATACTTGGAGTATGTATTATACTTTCTTATCAGAAAATAATAAATGGTACAAGGATAATAATTATAATACTTTACTAGTTCAGGGCAGTAGCAAGGATTGCAATTGGATTGGAGATGAGGGATGCGTAGGTCTGCAAAAATGGACGAACTGGGTCGCCTACAAGCCCTGACGGCGGTCGGTTTGATCGCGGCTTTAGTATGTAGGGCATTGTATGGTTCGATATATAACTGGTTAAAATGTACAGATTTAAGATTACTTTAAGTTTTATTATAGTACCCATCGCACCCCTAGGTCAAGTTGCTTATTTCCCCTTTAATTAACATGATATAGTAGTTCCTTGTAGAAACTACTTGGTTAACAATGGGGTCAGTTAGAAACCGGAACTTTCATGGAGCGGAGCGGGCGCTAGCAAAAATACGGTATGTCGGTGCTTTGGGATAAAAACATATCCTTGAAGATGACGTTGGAATTGGAAGGCAATTTCAACAAAACATTAAGGAAGGAGATAGTACATCTACGCAGCAAACTGCGCTATCCCCATTGTTGATTAAAAAAAATTGCCATGAGTCAAATACTATATTTTCTCCTTAACCTTGCCAACACCTTTGTTCTACCAATTATTTAAAGTATCGTAACTTATTATGCTGCTATAGGAATACATCGAAACGGAACTTTTTGACATTCGTCACAAAGCAGCCCAACGCATCATAGGCAATTCCAGTGACAGACAATTTAACAGCGAAAAGCGCGTTGAACTAAAAGTTAAGCCATAATAAAAGACGGAACACATCAATTATCGATCAATATTTCGTATAATCGCTCAGGTTGTAGAATAATGTACTATGAATCCGTCTTTCAAAATACCGCGATTTGATTTTACCCTATTCCGATTCTACTTCTCCTTTTCTAATACTAAGAAGCACACATACAGTAGCTAGCTCAAAGGCATTTTATCAGAAACGCATTCTTATAATATTCTTCTTGGGATCCGTCCTCTGGTTAAGGGTTGGATGCACGGCCACTCGTCTCTATTCCACACTTTCCCCGCACTCTCTGATAAAACATGTTGACCCAGTCTGTTTATTACACTAGCTAACTCTATAGCCTACCCTGACAACTGCCTGCCTGAATATTTCACATTATTTTCGCGTGTAAAACGGTCTACGTCTGTGTCGAAGATGTCAGTTGCAGGCTTATAAAAGAATACATGTAAATGTGACCTGCGGCAAAATCGGATGGCTTTATGTGGTCTAGCGACATGATTCTTGCCTTGATAACGAGAGGTTCCAAGTTCGAGTCCAGCCAGATACACTGTTTATATGAGATACTGTCGTATCAGCCTTTTTTTTTCATACAACTGAAAAAATCCTTTTGCTGAAGAGTATATGCTTGATATGATTAGGGCTGACAATGCCCAAATATTCGAGCATAAAACTTTAACATAAGATTAGCCTAAGTTAGTAAATCATTTTTTGAACACTAGTCATCCCAGGGGTAATGGTGTAATATAGATTAGTTTTTTTTATTAACCGCCTTGTGTAGGTCACACAGCTACTAACGTCTTAACATAAATGCATTATAAGTGCGCATGCCTATCCTTAAATTCAGCTCATCGCAAACTTCAGAATTAGGTCTTATATTGACTACGGCTGCAGTATTAATGCATAGTATAAGCTTTTATTG